ACACACACACACACACACACACACCTCATAAGTACTCAATACTGGGTTGAAAACCCTTTTCAACCACTTTTCAGTTGCTATTTGTTTGTGGGCCTTTCTGTCTAAAGTTTAGTCTTTAAAAAGTAAAATGCTGCTCAATTGTGTTGAGATCAGTTGACTGACTTAGCCATTCAAGAATATTCCACTTCTTTGCTTTAATAAACTCTTGGGTTGCTTTGGCTTTATGTTTTGGGTCATTGTCCATCTGTATTATAATATGCCTATCAATCAGTTTGGCTGCATTTGGCTGGATTTGAGCGCACGCTATGTCTCTGAAAACCTCAGAATTCATCCAGTTGCTTCATCAATAAACACTTATGACCCAGTTCCATGGGCAGCCATGCATGCCCAAGCCATCGCACTGTCTGCTGTGTTTTACAGATGATATGGTTTGCTTTGGATCATGAGCTTTACCATTTATTTAGATTTTTGTTTTTAGTCCAAATCTATCCTTTTTATTCTTGAGGCTTATGAGTGGCTTGCACTGTGCAGTGAACCCTCTGTATTTACTTTAATGCAGTCTTCTCTTTAAGGTAGATTTGGATATTGATACACCTGGAGAGTGTTTTTCACTTAGATGTTTTCTGCGATCATCCACCACTGTTATCTTCTGTGGACGTCCAAGAGTCACATTTGATAAAGCTTGCTTTCGCACAAAACAGTGCCAGAAACTTGCGTACGCCACTTTTCACGCAAAGGTTCTGATTTATAAAACCCGAATTTGGCATGAAATTGTGCTGTCCCTCACACCAGCTCTGACCCATGGGTACATTCATTTTGAACACAGGAAGCTGGTGACAACTGGCGAAGTGAGGAATTTTAGCCATACTGCATCGTATATTTAATTTCTCTTCATAATTAGATTTTAGATCAACTTTATCAAAAGCTTTAACAGTATTATTAATGCTTCTGCTGGTGAGCCATAAGGACCTTTCAAATAAAAAAAGACCTGCTAAAGACCTGGGGGAGAAGAGCGGTGAACTTATTTCTAGCAGCAAAACGTTGGGGCAGCGGTTGGGTTTTTAATTTTATGTATTGTTTTTTAATTTCTTACATGCTCTGAGAGAAAATAAATTTGAAGCTGAGTTTAAAAAAATTGTGACATTGCTCTAAATGTCTGGATACATGCAAAATGAGGGAAAATCTATCAATTACGGACAATCTGTTGATTTCTCAAATGAATCTCAAATGAAAGCTGAAAGTCTGGACTTTGTATCCATGTCCATTATATAACTATAGCTTGAATAGGTTTCAGTAAACAGGTAGAACAACAACTTTGTGTCGGTGTCCAAATGGATATGGACCCAACTGTATATATTTTAGACATATACAAAATATTTACCAACAGTATAAGCTTTTAATTTTATTCCCTGTGAAGACACTATGGTCTATTAGATTAAAGTGAACTTGCATAGAAACCTTTGAAAGTGTAGCTTGATTGATTCCAATTGTAGAACATTGTTCAGCGCTGGTCAGCATCTGTTTCAGAAGTTTCACTAAACTCCCCCTGCTATTAAGCTGCAGCCTTGTGTTTGACGGACTGACTTTGATGAGTCACTTCTATACAAGTCATAAAGGCTCCTTTGTTCTTCAAATATATAGTCTCCCGCTGATGCCTTTTAACTGGGTGGAAAATATCCCTGACTTACCACAGTATGTTTCAGGTCAAGTGTATGGAGGGATCATGTTGTGAAAACAGCATGCTGCTTCACCTTGTTCTTTCCTATTATTCTTCCATTTTATTTCAGTTTGGGGTCTCTAAGTTTTTTATTAAAGAGTCTGGACTTATTTTTTTTAAAAGAACAGACCACAACTGTCCTTTAGAAGTTATTGTTAAATTGATCGGTCAAAGAGCTTTTAGGCTACACAGCAGTAGAAGTTTGAAGTTTTTGTAGCTTTGTAAATAACTTTAATATAATAACAGATTCTGATCAGAAAGGTCACATGAAATGAGTCTTGACTGATATTTCAGTTATTAATGCAGACAAAAAGTATTTGGTGATTCTAAAATTTTTTTACAATTAATTTTACAAGTAAGAAAAAACAGGAGAACAAAAATCAATAAACTGGACATGGGTAATATATAAAATTAAATGTATAATTGTAACATATTGAGCTAAAGTAACTTTTTTCGTATGATAAACAACCTGATAGCTGGCCTAAATCTTTCCATACCAACAGCTATATGTCTTTAACACATCATTGTGGGGTTTCCCAAAAAATAATAACTATAATACATTAAGGTGAACTTTGAAATACAGCTATCTTCAATAGAGACGTTTGTTTTAATTTTGTAGCAATAGTTGATAAGTTTATTTGATTTGTCTTGTCAACTTTGAACACTTAACATTATATTTATAACTTAATACTCTCCTGGGGGGAAACAAAGAGCACTTTAAAACTAAGTTCTGCTGAATCGGTTGCAGCCATGAACTTTGTCAGGAAACAGTTTTGAGGATATTACTTAAACACTTTATAGCTCAGTTGCTCATTCTTTTTTTATTTTTTTTTTAAGTTTTTAGATGTGATGTTTCTGCACAGTAACCCAATAAATTAGTGACAAAACAGGTGGGGATCAGTATCATCTCCCGAGGAGGTGTCCCCTTGTTAATGTCATGTCTAGAACTTGAAATGATCCGGATGGCAACACCATTTGTAGATGTCTTTCAGTTTGCTCTTCAAATATTTTATTCCCAGTACTTTATATTTTTGAAATATACATTCAGGTTTTCTTTTTTGTCATTTTACTTTATTTTATTTATCCATTTTAGGCCTAAATGTTAGAAATGGTGTCATTTTTTGGTATTGATTTTATTTTGATGATATTTCATTCCATGTATTTGGATACCTATTCATGTTTTTGGTTTGTTTATTATTTAAGTTTAATTTTTGTCTAAAATAAAAAGAAATGTGTCTAGAATGTAAACAAATTAATTTTATTGTATTTATTTTGTATTTAAAATCTGAAACCGGAGTATTTTTTAATCACCTCTCCAGGTGTTTGAGATTGTGGAGAGGGTGGAAGAATTGCGTAAGAAGTGGCCAGTGGCGTGGGGTAAGCTGGACGAGGGAAGCATCGGAGTGGTGTCGCCGTACGCTGATCAAGTTTTCCGCATTCGTGCTGAGCTTCGAAAGAAAAGAATGCCAGAGGTCAGCGTTGAAAGAGTGCTTAATGTCCAAGGTGAGAAAACATGTTTATTAACACACCTGTACACCAGAATTAGTTCTTTAGGGCTGTTATATAACCTTCATATGGGTGATGGCTTTTGTGTGCTCTGATTGGGACAGTTTATATATTAGCTACTTTAATTTCATCATACTTATTCAAAAAAAGGCTCAATTGAAAGTTGTGGAAAGTAAAAGCACGAAGCTTGTATCTCATAATATTCATTTGAGCTGGTTACGCCTTTTCTAAAATCTGAGATTTATGAAATCTACAGTGTCGTGCCTCTCTCACAAGTTTTGCATCCAGTTACCTTACACATGTGATTGTCTCTCACATGAAACAAGAAGTCACATGCATGCTGACAGAAAAACTGGAGTCTAGTATTATAATTTCCGGAGTATAAACAGCTTTTTTACCCCACATGCTTTGAACACTGGGGCTTAAACACTGATGTGGCTAATTTATGAATTTTTATCACACGGGGCCAATGCACAGTTTTAGGGCAATCTGGCTGTTATCTTTGAGTTTGAGCAAAATATGTCTATTTATTTACAGGCAACTTTCTGAGCTGTGGGTTTCTTGTGTGAATCACTTTTACAGTGTGGCTTCAAGTTGTGTTCTCCCTCGTGAAAAAATGAAAACTAACTTAAACTGACATTTCCAAGTCTTTGTTTTGCTGCATTTTTGTTTCTTTGACACAATTTCCATTACATTCTTCATAAATCTCTTTTTCTTCCCTATTTGATTTGATTTGATTCCAGACATGTCAAAGTCCTTAAATCCATATAACTCAACATACCCTTTCACATATCTAACACTTAGACAAATTACACACAAATAAACCCATAAAATAATGCACACCCAATGTGCACACACCTATCTGTGTACACATACCCAGATACATACACTCACATGAAGCACATAAATTACAATAACATGTCTGAAAAGGGGTAGGAAGAAGTAAAACTTATTTAATCCTACCCCTATTCAACATTTCATCTGGTTTTCAGAATCTTATCAAATTATTATGAAAACAAAAGAAGAAGAAAAGAAAAAAATACACATATAAAATACATAAGGTAATCTAATATTATTCTAATACTAAATTTCAAGTTATATTCACATGCAGATACAATCACATTCAACTACACACTAATATTTGAATAATTATTAATTTATTTTTTAACACAGTAGCAGTGGCACATTGTGATTGACAGCTGACTCTGTGTCTCTGCCTTATTCATCTTTCTTTCTTGTCTTTAGAGAGGCAGAGAGACAGGAATAAGGTGGCATTATCTAATGCAGGAGTGGGCAATCCTGGTCCTCGAGAGCTGCCGTCATGCATTCTTTACTTGTTCCTCTGATTCACCACACCTGATTCAGTGATTGAATTCCCCTCTCAAGGCCTGCCTAAGTTTGGTAATCACCCATTCGTTTAAATCAGGTGTGTTGGAGCAGAGAAACCTCTAAGACATGCAGGATAGTGGCTGTCAAGGACCAGGATTGCCCACCCCTGATGCAATGATTGCAAATTGTAGAAACTAAATAACCTATGTTTAAAATTTTTTTCTTCGTTTGATATTTTTTTATTTGGCCCAGTCAGAAGCAGGACATTGTGTGTGTGTGTGTGTGTGTTTGCTGCAATGTGCACATTGGGCCTTGTGTGGGACAGATGCCCTATTTTTGTGCACCATGTGAATCACGTTTGTGTGGTGTTTTGTTGGTCAGGACCTGACAGGTGCGCGGTGCCACTTAGTTGTTTTTGTGTGCCACGTGCATCACACATTTGTGGCCTGTTTTTGTGTGGGTCAGGTGCAATGTGCTGTTTTTGTGCGCCACATGTATAATTGCACATATATGATATATATACTATGCATAGTTCTGTATTTTCCCTTTGGGATGAATAAAGCATTTTGAATTGAATTGATGATTGTGGTCAGGTGCAGTGATGGTTGGTTCATACCCTTTGATAAAATCCTGCAGCAACATCTTTTTGCGTAAAAATGTCATGTTACAATGTGGACTCCTGCAGAAAGTGAACAGAGTTTAATCATTCAGGACTGAGACATACTC